CATAGGGATAACATGGGTAATGCTAAGTCTATGGCATAGGAATAACATGGGTAATGCTAAGTCTATAACATAGGGATAACATGGGTAATGCTAAGTCTATGGCATAGGGATAACATGGGTAATGCTAAATCTATGGACAATGTTAAGTCTATGGGTAATGCTAAATCTATGGACAATGTTAAGTCTATGGGTAATGCTAAGTTTATGGCATAGGAATAACATGGTTAATGCTAAGTCTATGGACAATGTTAAGTCTATGGGTAATGCTAAATCTATGGACAATGTTAAGTCTATGGGCAATGCTAAGTCTATGGACAATGTTAAGTCTATGGACAATGTTAAGTCTATGGTATAGGAATAACATGGGTAATGCGAAATCTATGGGAGTAATGTTATTTCAATGGAATCATGTTTTTTCTATGGAGATAAACTAAATGAATCTGACATAATAAATAGAACTAATTCTTGTATAAAACATTGAAAATTCTCAAAATAATAATAGTGAAAGTATTCCAACAATCGTATTGAAAAATTAAAAATCTTTTGATGCATTTCTCGAATTGTGGTTAACGTATAGCATCGCTGTGTGATCCTTGTTTTTATATGTATCATATTATTATTATACTGTGCATTAATTTAATTATACATTTATGTATCTCTGTATTAAAATTACTGAAATATTTAAAACAATTGTAAATAATAATAAAAACTTTAAGAACATAAGAATTTGCCACTAGAATTACCTAATAATTAGTAATAGTTTTAATAATAAACAACTCACACAACGAGCTATACGTTAACCACAATATGGGAAGTGCATCCAAATTTTCAATATTATCGTTAAGAATATTGTTATTCACTATTGTTATTTTTAAAATTTTAAATATCTTTATCAACAATTAATTTGATTCAATTTGTCAGTTTGTTTAATATATCTCCATTGAAAAAGCATTATCCCATTAAAATTAAAATGGCATGAAAATAACATCTTCCCATGGTAAAGTATAGCCATTGGATTAACATGGAATTGCATATTATTTCTTATAGGTTGGGTAAGGGGGTAGCCAAATAATCCTATAAACCACATTACTCATATAGAATTGTGATTAAAAATAACAATTTTTGTTAATATTACATTTTTCATTACATATTAAACTTGATATGGTCCCTTGTGTATAAAAATGAATGTAGTTTATTTTATATAATATTATATGACTGCATTTTAATTCTTATTGTAAAACATGATTAAAAATTACATTTAAGAAGACTGCGTTTGTTTACTGTTATGTAAATTCCTATCTCTTATGAAATTTTATACATTGTTGTAAATAGTTGTCAGAGTTAAATCTATCAAAATCTTTTAATATACAGTATAGTTTTAATTCACTATAAGTAATGCTATAAGACATGATTTAGTTAGACATAGGATTTGTGCTATAATTGTGTTTAATATCTGAATAGTACTGTATTACTGAATACAAAATATTGGTAAATCACAATAGTATACAATAGTACATAAATGATAAAACAGATTTGACACATAAATGCATTACTGTTTTCCAAAACATTAATGAAAGCTTATGTTTAATTTAAGTTTATGCTTATAAATTATACCATAAGTTGTATAGTAATAAATTGTCCATAGATTTAAAATAATATTAGGTTATCATAAATACAATGCTCATTAAATATTTTAGACTTTAAAAATTAATAAATTTAAATAAATAAATAAATCATATTAATTTGAATACACGAATTAAAATCAAATAAATTAGTGAATGCAGCAAGTTTATATATTTTATCGGGTTATATGATTAAATGTATGGAGGATATTATGATCATTGATTGATAATGTTTGAAAATCTGTTTTAGCAGCAATTTAAGCTTGTTTATTAATAACTTATCGTTTGGTTGCTTTACTAAGAACACATCTAGATTTTTCAAATAAACGTTCATGTATAATTATAAATTAAATATAATTAATATTTTAATTAACGTATATTATATAGTAGTTTATAATATTAGATGTATTAATATTAATATTAAATGTATTACAAACATTGAAATACCTGTTTGAGAAATTGTGATCATAACTTGTTGTGAGAGTAATGTAATCAAAACGATGACAACTTTAGTAAAAAGGCATAAGTAGTGTAAAGAATTCATTGTATTTATTGCTTTATAATAATAATTGTTGCATAAAATGTTTCAACACTTTTTCATCGATATTTCAAATATCTATGTATTCTTT